TTTTTAAATATCTGTCACTGAGACCCATAGATCACAAAGCTTATACAAAGCGTAATGTCCAAATTTTCTTGACTCTCTTTTCTATCCCTTGAGAAGAATCAAAGCACTGCAGCACAGCAATATGGTGTGTGTGTGTGGAGGGGTGCTTCTTGTCATCGATCTGAACTGGACACTTTGATATTATTATTTCTGCTATACAATGCCTTCATCAACAACTAATTCCAATGCACTTTTTGGAATTGCTATTCTAAGAGTGTTACAGAAATGTTCTTCACAGTAGGCTTTTGCATTGATCACAGCCTGGTCCAGAAAACTTTCACTCTACATGCTCTCACAATTTATATCTTCCTGGCTTCCTTCTGTAATATTCCTTGTAATCATTCCCTCTACCTGAAGGATGCAATGTGCAAGTTGGGCAAAAAGTCTGAGTACTAAAAAAATCTTTTGTCCTCGTTCAGAGTTACTTTTGTATTTTCAGAGGAGGCATGATGTCTCATTTTCTTTGTGAAATGTTCATTTTTAAAGCCTCATTTTTATTATCTTTAAGTACTTGTACAGAGGGGTTTCAGTTCATTGTTTTATATAATGTCAATACTAGCTTTGCATTGTTTTTTCCCATTTGTCTTTCTGTATTTTATGTTTTAGAATTTTGCTTATAAATAGTATATAGTTGGGTTTCTCAAGTCCAATTTGGCAATGGTTTGCCATTTCTATACCATTATACTTTCTGATATATTTGAGGTTATATTCATTATGGTATATATATACTACTATATCCATTATATTCTTAATGCTATTGTCCTGTCTGATCTATGTTCTTTTTTTAATCTTTCATTATTTTTAATCTTTCATTATTTTATAGTAAGCATTTTTATTCTTTCAAATTGAAATGTATACCCACATCCTTCCTTCCTTTGTTTCTCTCTTTTAAACTTACCATGGAAGTTAGAGCATAACTTATCTTTGTAATTTTGATACAGGGTCTCACTATGTAATCTAGACTGCTTTCAAACTTGTGATGCTTTCTCCTTAACCTAGGTGCTGAGATTATAGATGTCTACCATCACACCTGGATTTACAGCATATAGCATATATTTATAGCATATATATTTGACCCATCAAAGTCTTACTTTATTTTTAACTTATTTCTGGATAATATAGGGATCTTGAAACATCTTAATAGCATTTATTCCTAACTTAGGAGGTATTATCATGTATTTTAATCCTAAATACATTTTCACCTATATGTGATTTTATAGTTAATATTGACTTAGATTAACCTACTACATATTTACCTTTTTTATTGCTCCTTGTTCTATCATGTTTCTCTTATCATTCCATTAAGATCTTTTTCCTCTATACAGAAAACCCTGGAGTTTCCTTTATCCTCAGAATATCTTACATGCATATGGTATGTAATTTGTGCTGTCTTAGCACTTTGAATTTATTTTCTTTTCTCGTTGCTTTGTTTCTTTTGAGAAGTCTATTTCTGTTCTTTTGATATGCCTGCTTTTAATTCTTATTTATATTTGGTTTCCAGTAATTATACTCTGACATATGTGAGTATAGTTTTCTTTGTTTTTATTCTCCTTTAAGTTTCTAGAGCTTCTTAAATCCTTGGTTTGATATCTGTGGTAACTTCTCTGATATTTAGTTAAGTTGGACCATCTCTTCATGGTAGTCTTGAAAAATTTTCATAAGATTTGGAAAGCCAAAGTGAGGTAACAGCCATGTTTTTATGTTCTGAAGGTTTGTGGAGGTTGTGTTGTGTGAATACATATATAATATTTCTGACCTATAATTACACTGTGCTGGTAGGTAACACTCAGCTCCTCAACTACCTCACCTTCCACCAGACCTCTTTTTGTTTATGTCTTGGACCAACTTGCACCCAGCATTGTGGCAGGGTGTGAGATTTTGTAGGTTACCCATGCCATCAAAACCAAAACTAGAGGTTATAAGAGTAAGTAAAGTCTCATTTGTCCTTGGGTAGTCAGATGCATTGAAGGAGGTTCTGTGTGCCTTTACTTTATTTCAAACCCACAACTTTTCTTCCTGACTGCTATCATGCCTAACATATGGTGACTTAAGTGAAGTCCAACACCAGATATGGGGATAATATGAATGGATTTTGCTGTGTTCCTTTAATTGCATAAGTCTTGTTCTATAAAATCTTATTCTGTATCACAATAGGTCTGATTCTTCATCAAACTCTTACAGATACAGATATTGGTGGCAATAGAAGTTCTAGAGAATTAGAACTTTAAGGATGGGCTCTCTAAATTGATTTGGGATTATCTAGAATTGGTTGTCTCATTTGATTAAATTTAACTATATAAGAGCTTTGTTTTCAGAAATAAAGGAGATAATGGGGTTTGCTCTTCTCATGTAGACACAATTTATTTAAGTAGATATGGAAGCCAAGATGTTGGCTAACCAAATAATTGCTTCTGTGGAACATTTTGATGAAAATAAGGAATATAATGAGCTTATACTGGGTATTTTCAATAGTAAAGGGATGACATTGTGAAGTATTGGAAAATATAATAAATAATGATGTTTACAATAAATAATGTTACAGTAATAAATAATGATAATGTTAAAATGAATAATGCTTTTGAGATAGGATATGTATCCCAGATTGGCCTCCAAGTTGTTATAATGCTCCTTCTTTAATTTCGTGAGCACTGTGACTATAGATGTGTACCATCACAGCTGATGCAAGCTCTCTGAATTCAATAGGATTGATGGAACTCCTGGGTTATAGGGAAGAAGGGATGCTTAACTGCTAAATATGAGTATGGTTATCATTGTGTCAACAATCTAACACAATAAGAACTGCCTGACCTGGGAAGACATTTTATCTTGGCTAATTAATTACAATGTCCCTAAAACCGAAATAGATAGCAGTCTACTGGACTCTTACTTAGGTTTTATCTACAGAAAAGCTCTAGAACTCATGAAGAAAAAATTGAGTTGGATCACCAAATAGCTCCTCAACAAATTCCTCCTTGAATAAAGGGAGGCACTAGAGAAAAGAGCTGTGCTACATAACCAGAAGTGTGCATTGCCAGTTTTCCTCCTCAAGGAACCCCTGGCCATTTACCAGGTACTGTGTATCTAGAATGAATTTGGGAAATACTCCATTGCTGGACACTGACTCTGAAGTGACATGGATTCTTGAAGACTCAAGACGTCAATGTAGCTCACCAGTGTAGGGACCTATAATTCTAGCTGCTTAGGATGCTGGATCCAGAGGATCTTAGTTCAAAGACAACCTGAGCAGAAAAGTCTATGAAATTTCATCTCCAAAATAACTGGCAAAAAGCTGGCCTGAAGATGTGATAAGCAAACTGAGTAAGCCTGAGGCCTTCAGTTCAAGCCCCAGTAATGCCAAAAAGAAAAAATAACCCACCTAAATCAGATGAAGTTTAAGTTGGGCCTATGATGTGGTCATCGCCATTATCTAGTCTCAGTTTAAAACATGCCATTACTGGGCTGGGAAGGTGGCTCAGTGGTAGAGCGCTTGCTTGCATGCATGAGGCCCTGGGTTCGATTCCTCAGCACCACATAAGCAAAAAGAAAAAACAAGCTGGAAGTGGTGCTGTGGCTCAAGTGGTAGAGTGCTAGCCTTGAGCTGAAGAGCTGAGGGACAGTGCCCAGGCCCAGAGTTCAGGCCCCACAACTGGACCCCCCAAAAAATGCCATTATTAAGAAAATAGACTTCCTTTTTCAGTTCCCACCAATGTATTGATAAGATAATGAATTCCTCATTCTAAATCTCACTGCCTTTGTCCATACCACTGCCACCACCAAGAGTGAGTACAGATGACTAGTACAAGTTGTACTTCTATAGAATACTCTTCTTTCTGGTATCATGAACTGGTATTGCTTTTACTAGGAAATGGCTTGCTTGCTTCTTTTTTTATGTATCTTACAACCCCTACTGAAGGAAAATTCACTTACTATTTTTAATGTGGTTATACATTCACCAGACTATATTTTGTATTTTTAAGATATGATTTCTGGGTCTGGGAATGTGGCTTAGTGGTGAGTGCTTGCCTACCATGCATAAAGCCCTGCGTTTGATTCCTCAGAACCAGATAAACAGAAAATGCTGGAAGTGGCGCTGTGGCCCAGGTGGTAGAGCACTAGCCTTGAGCACAGGCCCTGAATTAAAGCCCCAGGACCAGGAAAAAAAAAAGATATGATTTCTTTAAGTTCTATCGCAAAAGATTATTTCTGTTATTTTAAAGTGAAAAGTATTGGATCATTGACATATAATATCAAGAACACAGGTATAGCATTTTTCTCTTAACAAATTATTAGTAATTTATTTACGTACAATACTATAGGAACTGAATAATCAGTAACGTTTTTTTTTTCTGGTCATGGTGCCTTAACTCTGGGCCTGGGTGCTATCCCTGCTCTACCACTTAAGCCATAGCACCTCTTCCAGCTTTTTCTGCTTATGTGGTGCTGAGGAATCAAACCCATTGCCTCATGTACGCAAGGCAAGCACTCTACCACTGAGCCACCTTCCCAGCCCAATCAGTACTATTTTTAAGGGTCTCAAATCTCTCACACAGAATAGAGTAATTAATATGGTGATTGTGATCTCAATTATGTAAGAAAATAGTCATGAACATGGATGAGGAACCTGCCAAAATTCTATTAAGAAGTGACCTTATGGAATGGCTCTTTTAGTGTTATAGAATGTTTTTGTTATACTGTTTTTAATGAGGATATAACATTTAATTTTTAAAAACCCTTAAAAGCCCTACCACTTATAGAGGTTCCATTAATTATCCAAATGCCTATAGGATAGAATCAAAACTTAAGTAACTATCCCCGAAGTTCCTACCAGGTCTGTTCACAAAATGCTCTGTTCTTGTCTCATTCCATTATGTCTTATTTCATCTGGTCTTGTCCTTGTCCTTGATGCAGATGCTACCACTGATTTCTGCATTTGAAGGAATGAAACCAATTTTTCCCCTCAGGGTTGTTCATCTAGGAACGGGACGTTGGTTCTACTGGTCCATTTTAATGCTGAGTTTAACTGGAATCATGACTGCCTACACTTCATTGTTGTTGGTGAGTGAAAGTTCTACTTCTTTATGAATGGCTTTGTGAGTTGCTCTTGCCTGTGAAATAGTATCTAGTCAGTATTGGGAGCCCTCGAAGCTAGGTTCACTCTGGTCTTAGTAGAGTTGGGGGATATGTGAGCTCCAGAATGTGCAGGAGGAAGCCTGGGCTAGTAGAGGATGTATATGGGAAGGTGATCCTCTGCAAGGGTGGCAGGACACCTGTCACCCATTTCCCTGTTTCATACTTATCCTGGTTCACTCAATCTTATAACTTTGGACACCCATAGTTTCACATCAGCAATCTTTCCAGGTATTATCAATTAAACATGTTCTAATGTTCAGTCAGTCATCTAACTGAAATGCTAAGTAACATTTTAGCAAAAGTCCTTGGGAAATAGTGTGTCTCTGCTTCTGTTGCATGATATGGGAAAGGTGTACCATACAAGAGAAAACTCGGGAAATGGAGATGAAAGAGGAGGATAACTTTAACAGTTGAGTTTCTCATTCATACCTAGGGCAAATACTTTCCTTTGATTTCATCATTCTGTGTGGCCCCACTGATTGCTAATTGTGTTAAATTTTCCTTTTAATGAATTTATTAACTACTGTATAAGGAGAATATTGGAATAAGTACTGAGTATACAGATAGCAGTAAAACATATGCAGCTTCTGTTTTTCATAAAGGATATTCTATACAGACAGGTAGAGATAGAAAATTACAAAAAAAAAATACCCAACACTGGTGGCTCACACCTGTAATCCTAGCTACTCAGGTGGCTGAGATCTCAGGATCACAGTTCAAAGCCAACCTGGAAGAGAAGTCTGTGAGACTCTTAACATTATCTAAAGTTCAGTGAATATCCAGAAAAGGAGCTGTGGCTCAAGAGGAAGAGCACTAGCCTCTACCAAAAAAAGCTAAGCAGGAGTGGGAGGCATAGAGTTCAAGCCCCTCTTACTGGCTCACACAGAGTTTCAATTATACCTTCATTCATTGTTTAAAATCTAGTAGGCAACTAAGTCATGGGCAAAAATAACAGGTAGGACAATAAAATTGTCACTAAAGAGATCTAAATGAAGATCTGCAGGAATTCTGGGAAGACAGATAACCAAGAGAATTAAATAAATCTCTCTGGGCACTGATGGCTCACACCTGTTATCGAAACTACATAGGAGGCTGAGATCTAAGGATTGAAGTTCAAATCCAGCCTGGGCAGGAAAGTCCATGAGACTCCAATTAACCAGCCAAAAGCTTGAAATGGAGGTGTGGCATTAGTGGTAAAGTACCACTCTTGAGCTAAAAAGCCAAAGGACAGTGCACAGATTGCTAGTTCAAGCCTTGGGACCAGCACAAAACAAAACAAAAACAAGCTAACAGAAAACAAACCTCACTATAGTGAGATCTAAGGGATGCTGGATTTTGACATACAGATATGGGACTGGGGAAGAACATTCTGGGCTGAAGGGACATACCATGAGACTTAGCAAGAAAGAAGAATGCAAGATATTTTGTTAAGAGGGACAAGACAGTTCTATTAGTGCTTGGAGCATAATGACAAGTAATGGACAATATGTGGCAGATTTGAGAGGCCTGGTAGGTAAGGCATAAAACAAGTTCCTATTTTTGGAAAATCATTCAGGAAGCTGTGGTGTGGAAGCTACCAGCAGAGAGCATGGTTAGGAAATACTCTTCTTAATCAGAAAAATGGAGATATGTGGCCAAGTTGCAACCACTAAATAGTAGCACTTTGATACACGATTAGCAGAACAAATGGTATTGTTAGCTTCTAATACTGTCAGTCTCCAATCATGTATTTTAACAGACCTTCTACTGATACTCTTTTTGCATACTGTAAAATGATGCAGCAGTGACATATTCTGGGATTAACTACTGTTATAGTACCAGACACTTGCTCCCCAAGAAACAGCTTGAAGCCAGGCACTGACACCTCATGCTTGTAATCCTAGCTACTTAGGAGGCTGTGATCTGAGGATCAGTTTGAAGCCAACCCAGACAAGAAAGTCAGTGAGAATTTTATCTCTATAACTATGAAAAAAGCTGGAAGTGAAGCTGTGGCTCAAGTGATAGAGCACTTGTATTGAATGAAAAAGCTAAGTTGACGGGTTGGGAAGGTGGCTCAGTGGTAGAGTGTTTGCCTTGCATACTTGAGGCCCTGGGTTCGATTCCTCAGCACCACATAAACAGAAAAAAAAAGGCGCTGTGGCTCAAGTGGTAGAGTGCTAGCCTTGAGCTGAAGAGCTGAGGGACAGTGCCCAGGCCCAGAGTTCAGGCCCCACGAATGGACCCCCCCCAAAAAAATAAAAAGCTAAGTTGAAAGAAAGAAAGAGGGCTGGGAAGGTGGCTCAGTGGTAGAGCGCTTGCCTTGCATGCCTGAGGCCCTGGGTTTGGTTCCTCAGCACCACATAAGCAAAAAGAAAAAAGCCGGGAGTGGCGCTGTGGCTCAAGTGGTAGAGTGCTAGCCTTGAGCTGAAGAGCTGAGGGACAGCGCCCAGGCCCCGAGTTCAGGTCCCATGACTGGACCAAAAAAAGAAAAAGAAAGAGGAAGGAAGGAGAGAGAGAGAGAGAGAGGAAGGGAGGAAAAAGGAAAGGGAGAGAGAAAGGAGTGGAGGAAGGAAGGAAAGAAAGAAAAAGGAAGAAAGGAGATAGAAGGAAGGAAAGGAAACCCTAGGGAAAGATGATTCTCATGCTCTATCCTCTTAAAGTAATAATAATAGTAAAGACCATTTAGGGGTAGGGGGTGAGGCAGCAACTGATAGTTATGAAATCCCAGAGAAAATAATGACTTCTTGCTAGGGATGCTGGTGAAAATTACAACTAGGTGGTGATAAACTGTCAGTGACATGGCTTGGAGAAGCTTCTCAGACAGAGACTGGAAAGTTTGGTATAAAAAGAAGCTAATGTGCCAGGCTGTGAAAGGAATTTTGAACTACAGAAATTTGATACTTTAAAATTAAACTCCCTTTTCTTGTTTGTTTCCCAGGTACTTGGATTTTTGTTGCTCTGGGAAAGGATGGAACTGTTCCTGCATGCCTGTCATAAAGTAGGAAACCTGAGACAATGAATGTGTTCCTTAGTGTTAAGTGTTTTATACACAGTTGCCCTCTCTGCCATTGTTCTCCTTTTAAAGTGAAGAGATAATGTTTATACAATTTTAACTGAAATAATTAAATTTCTCACAGCTGTAACTGCATGACCAAATTTGCTGAACCTAAGGAGGCTCCAAACCATACCTTTCCTTGCTTCTTCATGTTGAACTCAGAGGCTCTGTCTTTTCTTATCCCAATTTAATCTTGGGCAATTTTCTCACTTTCACAATCCTTTTCGGATCAAAGAACAATCTCATTTCAGCCCATGAACATTTTAGTTCATTGTTACAGCTCAAAACTCCAACTATATTGATCATAAAACTTTCCCATCCCTCCTTGGGCTTGATCCAAGTTAGGAAGCCTGCAGTGGTGACAAGGACATGTGGACCCTTTCGCCTGAACTTGGGCACAGGGAAAGAGGAGATGAGCAAGAAACATGGTCCTGATCCTCTAAGAGGCATAAGAGGGACATCTGGGTATGTGCACAACTTGGCTCTTTTCTCCAGAGTGTTTTACTATGTGCTATTTTTTTAGAGGTTCTTTTGTTGAGAACCTTGACCTCAGCTCTTATGGTAGGGTTAATGCCTGTCTCATGAGTGGCTATTTTATAATCTTGTGAAATCTCTCCTTTGAGGTTCATTTTACCTTAGATTGAATCTATGCAAAATGATACACATGATTTCTTTCCAAAAGTCAGTGGTCTCTCCCCTTAGCAACTGCGCTTCTTCCTGTGTGCACCTAAATCATATCTCAAGCATACTGTCTCTTCTTTTGTTCTGCTGTGGGCTTGAGCAACTCTAGAAACAGTCTCTTACTTTTTTACATCTTCAAGTGCGGTTGTAGATACCATACTTAATATTTCCTTAACTCCGGGTATATACAAAATTGTCCAAGTAGCATCCTTAAACCTCCTATTCAAGTGTGAAGGAGAAGATGGAAATATTTGAGTTATTAGAACAGGTGGAAACTGGGCCATGAGATCTTCTAGGAGAACAACATAGATTAGAAGAGCAAACAGATCATTCTTATTGATATTACCACCTATTTTGGAGTTGGGATACCATGATAAATAACTGCTAAGATGAAAGGATTCTGGTTTATTCCAGGCTTGTGCCGATCATGGAAAGTCTGATTATATAGCTCAAGTGAGTTAAGTGCTGTCACTTGGCCTCTGCCACAGCAGAATTCTGCCCATTTCAGTGGCATCCTTTCTCACCTTAAGTCTGGCACCTTTAATTAAAGAGCCGCAGCCTTCTTAAACATACTGTCCTCTGTGCTTGAATCATAGAGGATTCAAGCTATGGCAGCTCATGCCTACTCAGAAAATGAGAGCTTGCATCCCAATTTTACTAAGCATAGGCTACAACTGAGTTGAGATTTCAGATAAATAAATGTTTAATACTTGGATTCTGATATACTGAAACCATAACCTCTAATAGGTGTAACCTTACCACTAAATCTTACCTAAAATTACATTTTCTTCTCTTTGTCTGGAATCTTTAGAATAAATTCCCACAGATCTACCATTGGATTTTTGCCAATATAAGCTAATAAAATCATACCACTCTTTTCTAGGTCTCCATGCCCTGAGGCTGTTCTGGAATCTAATTGTAGTTTGAGTCTGCAGGCAATGGAAAATGAGGGAACTGGGATTAGAAAAAACAATTGAACCTTCCCTGGGAGATAACTACTTTGGTTAGGCTTGCAAACCAGTCAGAACTAGACTTACCAGACATGGAGGTTCCTTGTCAAGAGTCATTATTCCAGGCTTAGAGTTTTCATTTTATGTTTTGAGTTTTTTCCTTCCTCAGACTAACCCAGTAAAGAAATAATTAGTATCAGACCTGTAATCATTTTCCTTTGTATCTGGGGTTGTCCAGGGAAATGTGAGTGCCTACTATCTAAACTCCTTGTAAACATGCTTAATCAATTCAAAAATCCCACATTTTAAGTTCAAAAACAGAATGTGTTACCAATACAGAAAATGAAAGGTCTTTGATGAGTAGCTACTTTTGACATCACATTTATCCGAGGGAAATACTTTATTTGTTCTTTATGGCAACTTGTATCCTATCACTCATTTGTGAAGTTTAGTATTGTGTAAGATTCGTGTGTGTCTAATTGTGTTGTGATGCACTTTAGTTTGCTATTAGGTTAAAAAAATTGCACCTATGTATTAGAGATTGGTCTATATCTTTCAGTTCTTAGAATATGTCTTTATTAAATTTGAATATCACAATTTTGAAGGCTTCTTAAGGTAGAAATAGAAAATATTGCCTATTTTTCTGTTCTCTGGAAGACTTTGTAAAAGTTTGGAGATGCTATCCAACATTGAAGCTAGAAAAGAATTATCTTGTGAGACACTTAATGTGGAGTTAATTATATTATGGAAAGGAGATAACTGTCTAGAAAGCAGCACAATTAAAGAAAAAAACTACATTTGAAGGGGAAAAAGTTAAGAAAGTTATGCCTTCTTTGCTAATGACTTAGAGACTCCTGAGAAGAAGTAAAAGTAATAGACACAAGAAATCTTCAATATCACTTGTCATAAAGGAAATGTAAGGGCTGGGAAGGTTGCTCAGTGTTACAGTGATTGCCTCGCATGCATGAGGCCCTGGATTCGAATCCTCAGCACCACATAAGCAGAAAAAAGCCGAAAGTGGTGCTGTGGCTCAAGTGGTAGAGTGCTAGCCTTGAGCTGAAGTGCTGAGGGACAGCGCCCAGGCCCAGAGTTCAGCCCCCACAACCGACCAAAAAAATAAAAATAAAGGAAATGCAAATCAAAGAACACTGAGATTTCATTACCTTATCCTAGTTAGAATGACTGTCATCAAGAAAACAAGCAACAACAAACTCTGGTGAAGATGCGGCCTAAAGAAAACTCTAACATAATGTTGGTAGGAATGTAAGCTTGTTCAGCCACAGTATGGACAGGAAAGCAGGGTGGAGGTTCCTCAGAAAACTAAACTAGAACTACACTGTGACTCAGCAATCGCACTCTTGAGCATCTATCCGATGGAACATAGACAAGGTTACAGTAAAGCCATCAGCCATGTTCTTTGCTGCACTGTTCACCATAGCCAAGATATGAATTTAGCCCAGATGCCCTTCAAGGGATGAATGGATCAAGAAAATGTGGTATATACACACAAGGGAATTTTACTCATCTATTAGAATGATATTATACCATTCATAAGGAAATAGAAAGACTTGGAAAATATTATATTAAATGAAGTAAGCCAGACCCAGAGAAAGAGGTTGCATCGTTTCGCTCATTTGTGGTAACCAGAATGTGCCTATGAAAATAAGTAAACACACTGGGAGGTATGCAAGTGGTTCCAAATGAATTAACTGAAATATAAAAGACTCTATGGAGAGCTCAAATAGTATAATGTTGTAGAAAGACCAGGTCAAAGTCCAACAAAATCAACACCAGGAATATTTGCAAGAGGTAGGTGGAGCCAAAGGGAGAGGGGAAGACTAACGAAGTGGGGAAGAGAGGCAGAACACAGTCCAAAATTCATTATATATACCACAAAACTAAGAAAAGTAAGGAAAGGGGTTTGGCCAAAGGGGGATGAGAATGTTGAAGGGGTAATATTGATCAAGATGCATTATGTTCATAAACTGATTTGTTATGTGGTACCTCCTTTGTACAACTACTTAAAGATAATTTTAAAAATATTTTTTAAAGTTATACCTTCTTGTTCTCAGTGTACTTTCTCCTCGAAGTATACAGTGCTCTTGAAGACTTATTTTTCATCTGTTCAGTAGTTATTTGTTGGATACCTACCAAGTGCCACACATCCAACAAGGCACTGAGGATATGATCATAAATAATATAAATATTATTCCTGACTTCATTAAGTCTGTTGAAGAAAACATACTTCAAAAAGACATTTATTTAAAATTGAGATAATAGATTAAGATACTAAGCCATTATAAGGACCTGGCTGCCGAGGGAGATATCATCTGGGAATGGCCTCAGACCACATAATTGTGTAATTTTTTCCAGTCATGAAGTGTGTAATAAAGACATAGAAGTCAGGGGCTGGGAAGGTGGCTCAGTGGTAGAGTGCTTGCCTTGCATGCATGAGGTCCTGGGTTCAATTCCCCAGCACCACATAAGCAAGAAGAAAAAAAGCCAGAAGTGGTGCTGTGGCTCAAGTGGTAGAGTGCTAGCCTTGAGCTGAAGAGCTGAGGGACAGCGCCCAGGCCCAGAGTTTAGGCCCATGACCAGGCCCCCCTCCCCCCCCAAAAAGACATAGAAGTCAGAAAAGTGAATGACTGGATACACAGAATAGTAAGGATTTTCAAAATCTTTAGCTTTAAAAAGATAAGAATATATTGTAAAAGATACATGTACAATTTCCAAGTATAGCTCCTTTTTTTTTTTTTTAACAAGTTCTGGGGCTTGAACTCAGGGCCTGGGCACTGTCCCTGAGTTTATTTTGTTCAAGACCAGTACTCTACCACTTTAGCCACAGTACCACTTATGGCTTTTTCTGTGTATGTGGTATTGAAGAATCGAACCCAGGGCTTCATGCATGCTAGGCAATCACTCTACCACTAAGTCACATACCCAGCTCCTTCATTTAGTTTTTTAAGTCAAGGTCTCTCTGTGTAGTCCAGGATGGTCTCACACTCACAATCCTTCTGCCTCAGCCTCCTGAGGGACTAAGATTATAGATGGTGCCACCACAAGTCACTCTGAAGATAATTCTTTTTTTCTTTTTTTTGGGGGGTAGGTCCAGTCGTGGGGCCTGAACTCTGGGCCTGGGCGCTGTCCCTCAGCTCTTCAGCTCAAGGCTAGCACTCTACCACTTAAGCCACAGAGCCACTTCCGGCTTTTTTCTTTTTGCTTATGTGGTGCTGAGGAATCAAACCCAGGGCCTCAGGCATGCAAGGCAAGCGCTCTACCGCTGAGCCACCTTCCCAGCCCTCTGAAGATAATTCTGAGCTAAATCTCATGCCTAGAAGTCAGAAGATCCTTTCTGTTTCCCCAGGTCCTGATTTGGCTAGTGATTATACTGTGTGTCTTTCTTATGGCTATTATATGCAAATTCTGGCGTGACAAGTGGCTGATAGCTGGGCTGTCATTGAAGGTAAGTGACATCGTGTGGCTTTTAACACTATCTGTCCAGATCTGTCTAGCTTAACTTTTGGTCTTCTTCTAGATCTTCGCTCCCTATGTGCACCTGTGCGGCATAGCTGTGATGTCCATCATCTCCTGGCCTCTATCATTCTACGTGTCCCGTTTGGAAGCAGAAAGTATGTTGTGGAGTGGAACCATGCCTCATCCCTTCCATTCTGGCCTTAGCTTGCATCCACCACTAAGAAAAACAGAAACCTGGTAGCTGGCCACTTTTGTGCCTCTTTGAATTTCCTTTAGCTTGTTGCACAGGTGTATTCCTTGTGCTGTCACTCACCACCCCACGTGGCTTGTCATAGTATTTCTGTGCTCAAACTGGACTTCTTTTAAAAAGGATTCTTCTCGAAAAGTAAGAAATTCCTCTCTTTTTTCCTTCCTTTCATAATACCTTGCTTCTTTTTTTCTTCTTTTCGTTCCTTTCCTTTCTTTTCTTCCCTTCCCTTCCTTTTCTTTCCTTTCTTTTCCCTTCCCTTTTCTTTCTTTCTGCTTAAACTCAGGGTAAGGGTGCCATCCCTTAGCTTTATGGCTCAAGGCTGGCACTCTATCACTTCAGCCACTCTTCCACTTCTGGTCTTTTTTGTTGGTTAGTTCAAAATAAACAGTCTCATGTGCTTTTCTGCCCAGGATGGCTTCAAACGGGGATCCTCAGATCTCGCTCTCCTCACTAGATAGGAATGAAGTGGGGGGAGGGCATCAGCTCCCAGCTTAACATACTTCTTTCTGAGAAAGAAATTACCTATCTGAGAGCCGAATGATGAAGTAGAAGTCATGTTAATTTTACTTGCTCAAAGTGTTGTGATGACTGTTAGGAAAATGGAGAAAGGAAGGAAACAGGCCAGATTCAATCTTCTACACCATTTATTGAGGGCTTGGAGACTCTATAGAGCTGGGACTGGAGCTGGGTTTTATGAGGTGTGAGCAAGGAGGCAGAGGTTAATAAGAAAGCCACAAGTTCAAAGGGAGGTGGGGAAGGGGGCTTTTCCATTGGGCCCACAATGGAATGTTGATAGCCAGGCTTAGATAGATTGCCCTGCTGGAATTGGTGGCTTGCCTGGTATCTGTATGCACCTGGGAAAACAGGGTAGGGGGGGGTCAATCTTTCATATTCCATCTTTGTATACATAGAAAGAATGGGCCTAGAAGCAAGTCCTTCAATGACTCAGTTTCTTTTAGTTTGTATTCAAATATTACTAAGTTCAACCACTACTACGTCCTGTTACATCCAAGTAACTCAAAGCAATCTTTTGTGAGTCTGTCACACCTGGGAATCTGTAGAAATGAAGATTCCCAGGTGTGACAGACTCACAAACTTTCACCAATTTTCTCCCTTCTTTCCCCTACTATCATGGAAACAAGAGAGAATGGAAACTCTACATTAAGATACTTTGAGAATGGAATTCTCTCTCAACACCCTTACTGAGAACAGATCTTCTTTCTAGGTCTCCCCCCCCCCGCACTCCCCCCTGCCCCCCTGCTATCAGTTAAACAAGAGTATTTGCTTCCCAACTTGAGGGGAATGCTGATTTGATAATGGTGTTATGACAGTTTGGTGCACATAGCTTTGTGCATGTATGTGTAGAGGGTACATTTTAGAAAATATTTCTGGGGCAAGTTCTTAAAGGGGACAATAATTAACTCTTTCATTTTCTAAATTTTAGTTAGACTAAGAAGATTCAAGATGACATGTTTCGAGGTGCAAAATGAAGAGGAAACTGATATATTCAGAAGGTTAAGAGGTTAGAGCTAGAGACCTAGATTTAAAAGTCAATCACCTATTTAAAACATAGGTGGTTAGTTAATGTACAAATGTATAAAATCTTCAGTATTAGGAAATGGAATAACAAGAATTATGGCCAGGCTGGAGCCAGGGAAGGAAGGAAGCAAATAACTAATGTTAATTGAATAATTACTATGAGTCAACACTATTAAAACAACTCTGTGAAGTTTATGTTAGCAGCAAGACACTTCTATTTTATGGAAGAAAAATGAAGAGAGATTGTCACATGTCCCTAGTCACACTGATAAGATTCTGGTTCTGAACCCAGATTTCTATCAGATTGAATCCTTTCTACAATGCTGTTCTGCCCTAAATATAGGAGCATCTGAGGATGATCTTCACAAGCTTCTCAGAACTAAATAAGCTCCTCTCTGTAAAGCTGTTCCTTGTATTTCCTCTCCTTCCCTTTCTATTTTTCCTTCTCTGCTTCCCTCCCTTATATAAAAGTCTTACACCTGAACATTCCTAAACATTATGTACAAATCTCTGAAAGTAAGTGGTAATGTGATGAACAGAAGGTAAACCAGCCAGTCCACAAAGTAGGGAATTCATGAACTGGTTATTACTCAGACTGCTGTTTTGGGGGTAGTTAATTGCCTAGGATGGTTCTTTATCCCCCTTTTTAAAACCTTTCCCCCCCTCCCCCTGCTTTTCTCTCCTTTTTTTTTTTTTTTAGCTCTACAAGTGGCTGTTGCATTTCCCTTTTTACTTCTTCTCATATGTCTGTATTTGTTGCCACTTGGGATTTATTCTCCTTGCATTCAGAAGACGGAGGATTTGGGGCCTAGGCCTGTCTTTATTGCACACAGAGGTGCACCAATGGTAGGTTGAGCATAATGGACATGAGTGAGTACAGGTATGTACAGTGTATGCAGAAGAGAGAAGAGGACCTCAGAACCCTAGGAACCCCTGATGAGGAACCCCTGATGAGAAAAAAAGAAAAAAGCTGTCTTGACATGAAAAGAATAAGGAATTAATTGTTGAAGTTGGGCGTAAACCCAGGTTATTTGACTTCCGTCATACTCAATATTCAATTGGACAGAGAGAAATATAGGCAGACTTTTTGAAAAGAGAGCTAAGGGAGACAAGCTCTGCTTCCCGACCCCTGTTCATTTCTGGGTTCCATCTCATAAAAGTGATGTGGGGTGGAGAGACTTCAAAGCACGGGGCTTGATTTCTTCTACAGGCAGCACCAGAAAATACCATGATGTCCTTTGAGAAGGCCGTTGAATTTGGTGCCTATGCTCTGGAGACTGACGTATACTTAAGGTAGGAAAGTAAGGGGTATTTCCAGTGTTCCAGGAGAACCTGCCTGGCCTTTGGGAAATTTTCTCTTATGTTCAGATGGCACCTAGCCACATACCACATACATGAAACGTCTCCCTTGCAAACCATATTTCAGTACTTTCCCAATCTTACTTACAGGTTCATAAACCAGACACATTTGATATAGTTTCCACATATAATTTAAATTTGTTCCCATTGTAATCTATGCTTCTAACTTAATCCCCTATACAACCTTAGCCATTTAGTCAACTAGTATTCCCTAGATATCTGATATGTTCCCGGCCTTCCGAATGCTTGGGAGATGGATATTGTTATTCCTAAGAGTTATTTCCAGCTGATGAAGGAGATAAGGCGAATAAGGCCATTGATAATGGGAGCCTTGCAACGCAAGTGCAGAGGAACCCCTATGAAGAAAAAGATTACTTTCTGTGAAAGAAAGAAAAAGCAATCTATATGGTCAAAGCTGTGTTTGGGTTGAGCCTTGAAGGAAAAAATTATTTTACCAACCGCCAATGGAGAAGGGAAAGCATTCAAGACAGGCATCAACGTATTCAAAAGCATCTTAATGAGAAAGAACAAATTTATCGAGCATGGAAGTAGCCTATACTAGATGATTTGGGGGGATAGGAGAGGGATCTTGAGGCAGAGGTATGGTAGTCAAACTGACTGAGGTTGGATCATGGATATTTTTAATGTGTAATGGGAAGCCACAGTAGCAGGGGAGGTCCTGTTGTGGGGCCTGAACTCTGGGCCTGGGCGCTGTCCCTCAGCTCTTCAGCTCAAGGTTAGCACTCTACCACAGCGCCACTTCTGGCTTTTTTTTTTTTTTTGCTTATGTGGTGCTGAGGAATCGAACCCAGGGCATCATGCATGCAAGGCAAAAGCGCTCTACCGCTGAGCCACCTTCCCAGCCCCAGCCATAGTAGCTTTTAAAGGACAGGTCATCTCATTGTTTTTAGAAGGATGTATTTTGGAAAGTATTTTCAGGAAGCCAGTAGCAGAATGTAGCAGTAGTCAAAATATAAACAAAGGAAGACTTAGAGCAGGAGTAGGGACAAAAAAGTGTTTTGCTGTAGGATTCATATATCTGTGCTTCATTTGTAGCATAAGTATGGATTGCATGTGATGTGTTCTTCACTGTCCCCATGTGAAACATCAAGAAAGAGAAATAACCTCTGAGGTTATTTCTCTTTCTTGATGTTTCACATGGGGACAGATCATAAAGATAGCCCGTACATGGTAAATTTAGAATTAGCGTTAATCCTGACCACAAATTGAGGTTCCTGAAATTATACAATCATGACAACTGTTCTCCATAGAATATTTTGAAACAGGATTGAAACCAGTTGTTTTTTAGCAAAACTTTTAGTGTCATTCATGGAAATGGTCATGGGCATGATGGAAAGATATTGAACCAGCGAGCTCTTGGACTATTGTCTTTATTCTTTTACTTCTGTGCCTTCTGTTTTGATGTGGATGACCCTTCCAGCATATTTATTGTTTTGACTATAGTATGCCTAGAGGTGTTTCTTCTCTTATCTTGGCTATTTGGTGTTCTGTAAGCCTCTTGTACCTGTATGGTTCTTTCTCAAGGCTGAGGAAGTTTTCTGCTATTGTTTTATTAAATATTTTATCGATGCTCTTAGTTTCTACCTCTTCAACTTCTTCTACACCCACAATCCATAAGTTTGGCTTTTTGATAATGTCCAAGAGGTGTTTGTAAATTTTGTTCATACTGTCTTAGTACTTTTACCTTTGTCTTTGTCTGACTGATCTAGTTGCTGCAGTATATTTTTTAACTTTTGATATTCTATTTTCAAGTTGCTCCATTCTGTCTGCAAGACAGAGCTTGTATTTCAGTTATTGAGTCTTTAAATTCCAGAAATTTAGTTCTTTTTTTTCAGGTCTAAGTCTTTGTTGAATTATTTCATATCTTGCATTGTCTACCTTTTTTCTTTTTTTAAATTTTTTACTTTTAATACATTTTATTGTGAAAATACTGTACAGAGGGGTTATAGTTACATAAGCAAGGCAATGAGCACATTTCTTATCATTGTTGCCTCCTCCTTTATTTTTCCCCACCATTCCTTCCCTCCCACCTCCACAACTACAGTCCCCCAACACCCTCCCCCACCTAAATTGTAAAGTTCGTTTTTCAACATAGTGTCTTGTACATCTCACTGTGACAGTGGGTCAACCTGTATTACTACTTAAACATTTTGTTTCTTTCCTTCCCCTTCCCAAATTATACCAACATCAAATACAGTGAAAACAGGGAATATATTGTGGGGGAGGTACATACAAAGCAACAAAAAAAAAATCACATGGTACCTTATAAATACATTGGAAACAAATACATTGGAAACACTTGTGTCCCTATCTTGGGGTTCATTTCGCTTAACTTCATCTTATCTGGTCATATGTACATAGCTTTTGACATTTTCTGCTTGTCCCAGACATATACTAGTTATTGCAAATAAGGGAAACCATGGGACCTATGTTTCTTTGGGCCTTGGCTTATTTCACTTAATATAATTTTTTCCAAGTCTTTCCATTTCCTAACAAATGGGGCAATGTCATTCTTTATGATGGAGGCATAGAATTCCATTGTATATATATATCACATTTTCTTGATCCATTTATCTACTGAGGGGCATCTGGGTTGGTTCCATATTTTAGCTATGGTAAATAATGCTGCAATAAACATAGTTTGCTGGTAGCTTTAGTGTGGTCTTGTTTGTGATCATTTGAGTAAATGCCCAAAAGTGGGATTGCTGGGTCATAGGGGAGCTCTATGTGGAGTCTTTTAAGGAACCTCCATACTACTTTCCAAAGTGGTTGAACAAGTTTACACTCCCACAAACAATGTAGTAGGGTTCCCTTCTGTCCACATCCCCTCCAGCATCTGTTGTTATTAGAATTCTTGATTATAGCCATTCTAACTAGAGTGAGGTGTATCTCAATGTTGTTTTGATTTGCATTTCTTTTATGGCTAGAGAGGTTGAGCATTTCTTCATGTCTATTGGCCATTCTTATTTCCTCTTCAGAGAACTTTCTCTTCGTAAGTCTTTTTTTTTATTTTTTATTGTGAAAATACTGTACAAAAGGGTTACAATTACATGAACGAGGTAATGAGTATATTTCTCATCAAACATTGTGGTCTTGTTTGTGATCATTTGGGTAAATACCCAAAAGTGGGATTGCTGGGTCATAGGGGAGCTCTATATGGAGTCTTTTGAGGAACTTCCATACT